AGCCATTTTGTAGAAAACAGGGTTAGCATCTACCTCAATAGAATCATAGAATCATAGAGTTGGAAGGAACCTCCAGGGTCATCTAGTTCAGGGGTCATTTCCTACAGGAGCGCACAGGAGCAGAGCTCCAGCAGTAAAGAGCCCAGGGGGCGGGCACATGCAACAAGCCCCACCCCCTGCTCCCAGCAGACCTCAGTCAGAGAAAGAAACAGCCAGGTAAGCTGCAGAGCCCCCCCCACTCCCGGGCCAAAACAGTCCAGTGGCACCTTTAAGACCAAGTTTTATTCAGGTACAAGCTCTCCCTCCTCTGTGAGGGCAGATCTGCACGTCGACCCCCCCCCCAATAGCTAGCAATCCAAAACAGTCCAGTGGAGCCTGAGCAGTGAGTGTTGCCTTCTGACACACTTCCGGTGATGTCAGGGGGTGTGGCATATGCCAATAAGTTATGCTAATGAATTATGCTAATGAGCTCCTGCACCTCTTTTTCTACAAAATGACCCCTGCCTATAGACGTCAGTCACCCCCCTCGTGTTGCCAGGTCCTCCCTGGCCCCCAGTGGGTGCTGGGTAGGACTGCTAGATCCAGGTTGGGAAACTCATGGAGATTTGGGGATGGAGACTGGGGTGGACAGGGACCTCGGTGAGCTAAAACGCCACGGAGTCCACCCTCCCAAGCATCCATTTTCTCCAGGGAAACTGATCTCTGCAGTCTGGAGATGAGTGGTCATTCCGGGGGATCCCCAGGTCCCACCTGGAGGCTGGCATCCCAAGCACCCCAAATCATCTCTGTGGTTGGCGACAGCAGCCGCTGCGCTGTTGGTATGGCACGGATGTTCAAAGTAGAGCGGTCTCTCCCTCCTCTCAAGAAACCCCCTCCAACTCCAGAACACGTCTGACAGAAAGTAAACACGTCCACCAGTTCTGAAACCCTTCCCACGAGGACTTTTGTGCCTTGCCGATCTCCAGGATCTCTCCGAGGGCACAGATTCCACTTGCCCGCCTTTTTGCTGGCACCCCGATACGAAACCAGAGCACGTCCTCAAAAGTGCCGAGGGGGACTGACAAATCCCCTCCCCTTCCAAGGACAAGGCTTTCTTCAGGCCAAGTGGATCTTGTTAAAAATTCTGAGATTTTCAGTTTTCTCCAGTGGACAATGGGGAAACTATGGGTGAGCGCAATTAAAACAAACAAACAAAAAAACCTCCTGTGGAATATTTTCTCTTCTATCATGAGGGAAATGCTTCCTAAGACAACGGTTTTCCTTACCCAAAAAATGCTGAGGTGGAAAAGGCCGGAGGACTTCTTCAATTATTCCTAGGAAAAACTAACTCCCGATATTTGGGAGTGGTTAAAAAAGTTACTTTTTATGGTTGAAATGGATAAAATGACAAGAAAGCTTAAAAATCAAGAAGCTGAAGAATTTTTTGCAGATTGGAAAGACTTTAAAGATTATTTGGAGAAATATTGGGATGTAAAAAACAATTTATTTTGCTTTGACAATTATTAAAGTGGGAAGGACATTTTGATTAAATTTAAACATACATAGATCAACAGATAAAAAGATACGTTACCTGAGAGAACTATATATTATTAAAGAATTGGAAAAGGAGAAAAAAAATGAGAATGTATTAGAAGTTTGAGCACTGTGGGAAGTCAGAGGAGGGGGGATATTGGGACAAAAGGATATGTGATAGTTTGTTATACTTATTATTATATCCTAATAAAAATTGTTTTTTAAAAAAAAATATTTCTAGGAAAAACAGGGAACTGTTGGGAGGCACTGATAATAAATCTCCTGTGGTTAACCAAATGTCTGTGCATGCACCCAAGAAAACTGTACATGTGTGGTGAACACATGCCCGGCTCGAACTGCTGTAGCGATGCGCGCTATGCACAAGCAAAGAAAGTAGTATGTGGCCTAAATAGAATACAACTTGGTTTTCGCGCCATTTCAGATTTTTTTTCCTTATCAGAGTGCTTTTATCGTAAAGGATCAGAAAGTCTAAGACTGGTGGTCCAAAGTTGTTTTCTTTGCTTTTGCATTACTAACACATGACATTCTGAGAGACATCTGAACAACAGTTCGGCTTTACAAGTGGCGTGCTTTCCAGCCGTGGCCATGGGAAGGGGAGTGGGTAGGTAGCATCTTTTGTACCACTGAGAACGGTGAGATTTTGGGCAATTCGTATTTCTCCCAAGTTTTGGGGAGTGCAGAAAATCCCTCCCTCCTCTCATCCTATGAGCTAATGAGTCAAAGGAAATAAAACAAGTCTGTGTTTCATTAAAGCGATCCTAACCTGCGAACCTGGCTTTATGAATTTTTAGGTACTCTGTTTCATCTATTCATATCATAAGATGCCTTGAGCTCCATAAGGAGGAAAGGAAGCAAATAAAAGGCCTAAATAAACTATGCAAGGGGATCACAGAACATGTGGGGTAGATAAACAGCGGATCGAAGAGGACCTTCTGCTCTCCCAGAGCTCAAGAAATGCACTGCTCTTGACTGATCCCCTTGTGCTAAATCTGTCCAATAAAGGTAAAGGTTTCCCTTGCTCGAAAGCCAGTCAAATCCAACTCTAAGGGGTGGTGCTCATCTCCGTTTCCAAGCCGAAGAGCCAGCGCTGTCTGAAGACTTCTCCGTGGTCATGTGGCCGGCATGACTAAACGCCGAGGCGCACGGAACGCTGTTACCTTCCCACCGAAGCGGTACCTATTTATCTACTTGTAAGTTCTTGCTTTTGAACTGCTAGGTTGGCAGGAGCTGGAACTAGAGACGGGAGCTCACTCCGTCATGCGGCACACTCGGGTCTCGAACTGCTGAACTACAGACCTTCCAGTCTCCAGCTTCAGCATCTTAACCTCTGAGCCACCGCGTCTCCATAAATCTGTCCAACACTGGTATGTAAAAAAATGACATTTTCTGTTCCGATTCTCTCCCCCTCCATGGGAGCCACTGCTGCTAGCAATTGGGCTGCCAATTAAACATGCATTTAAAACTAGCAAGGGTAGATGCCTACATTTCGTCTCGTCGTCTTATACAACAGCATTTACAAAAGTGATTGGTACAGTAATCGGGAGAGGAAGGGAGAGGGCACGGGCGGATATGCCTAGACTTGGCCGCTCTGGTCTGCTTCCGTGGCATCTCTCCAAGGTGGGCCTTTTTTCATGGTACCTCACGCTAGCAAACTCTCTGATTAGCTACCTCTCTTAACTGGGTTTCTCTCTCACGCTCAGATTAATGTCTGTGGCAGTGGCGGCTTGGGTGGGTCGAAACACGAGCTTAACATATCTTAACATATCTTAAATTTCTGGTCAGAAGTGAAATCTAAAATCTTTTCCCTCACAGGTTATGATATTCCTTTGGATCCGAAACTTATGTTATTAAATCTTTGGCCTGATGGGAATTTTTCAACTAATCAAAAGAAGTTAATCAATATTTTACTAACGGCTGCCAAGAATGTCATAGCGTTGAAATGGAAAAATAAAGACCCTCCATCTATAAATGTCTGGTTATATAAAGTCTGGAACTATTTTATATATGAAACTATTTCTATTTACAACACCACAGATCAAAATGAATGTGAACTACTTAATCCCACTGGGAAATGGTATCCCATTATTGACAAACTTACCTTTGAAAATTTTGAATGGAAAACCATCTATAACGCAAAATATAAACTGTTATTGCTTGGCTGAAACATTGTATGACTTTTAAAGCCTTTCTGTTTGTATAGTTTGATTCAAAGTTACATTTGAAAGTATTTGTCTTATGTATAGAAAACCTGTGATTTAGTGTTTGTGCTATGGTGTACTTTAATGTTAAAACTAATAAAAATGTTTTGGTTAAAAAAAAAGAAAAAAAAAAGAAACACGAGCTTAATATTTATATTAGCTGTCCCAGAGTCACTACATGAAGTCCCAAAATGTTTGGACTGATGATAACGCAGAGATGGCTCATAGTGGCCCATCGCCCAGACTGTTTGTTGTGTTAAACGGGATGGCTGATGTTGTAGTCACGCCACCGATGCATTACACTCTGACAGTTTTTAGAACACTGAGTTTTATTCTTGTGCCTGACTCCACAAAATCGTCTCATGCACATATGACAAATCTGCTGCTCAGGCGGATAGAAATTTTAGCCACCCAAGTGAAAAGAATTACAAAAAGAACTAAACAGAAAACCTCGTTAAGAGGAAAGGGGTTCCCCCCCACCCCCGAATGTGATTTCACAAAAATCCATTCAAACGTTAGTATTTTAGCTGAACTCCATCAAAACTGCATTTCTAAGAACTGAAGCATACAGAATGTGACCATTCAAAAGAACTGTGTGAAATCCACAAAAAGGCAACAAATCAGAATAGAAACGGTTCCAAATCTAGCTATACAAGGTACATTAGGAATGCATAACCTATGGCGGTAGAAAAATGCTTTTACACACAAGTCGTTGAAAAATCAAAGCCAAACAAATGCCATCTTGAAATCCCTGTAAGCTGGTAAAAATCTCTCCTTCCGACACCCCATCCAAGATTATTGGCAAGCTGTCAATGAAAATAAAAGATAAAGGTGTTGATTGACTGGTTCGGTGCCGAGAAATACCTGTGTTTACAGTCAAATACACTTCTGGCTAAAATCCTTTCCAGTATGCAGTTCATAAAATGGGAAGAGACCAGTGTTCCCTCTAAGCTGAGTGAGTGTGAGCTAGCTCACCATTTTTTAGCCCTCCGGCTCACACATTTTTGTCTCGGCTCAGGAAGGAGGGCTCCAGAGCAAACTAACTTATGCAGTAGCCAAATCGCTGGCTCACAACTTTAATGCCGGCAGCTCACAAAGTAGAATTTTTGCTCACAAGACTCCATAGCTTAGAGGAAACATTGGAAGAGACCACTCTTAGATTTGAAACACTGGTCAAGAAATGTGGCTATTTAGAGTAAAAAAAAATAAAATCAATCCAATGAGAAAGTCTGGCTAGTTCTGCAGGCCCCACTTTCACCTTCTTGAAAACTATGTATGTCTATTTTTCTCCTCCTATTACAAGCAAGAACGGTTAAAAGAGGAAAAGAAAAGAGATGGTGGTGCAAATCCTAGGTTACAAACTGAACTCTGTAATGCAAGAACAAGATGCATTTCTTCCTTTAGGAGGTGCTATTGTCAGAAGAAAATAAAAAGGTTTCAGTTTTGTTTTTGCATGTGGGTGGCTATTCTATTTGTAATCATTGTTTGGATACACTATATTTTTAATATGCTAGTTGTGATCATTTCATGCCAAGTAAAAACGTCCATAGTCATATTTTATGTTCCTAAAGTAACAGAATGACTTTCAATCTGGGAAAGACAAAAGAAATGCTAATGTAGCATTTTTTTCAATTTCCCCCAAAATTTCCGTTTTCCCCCGAAAAAAAACTGGAAAAAAAACGGGTTTTTTTCCAAGCTTCAAAATGTCCGGAAATTTTACATCTCTAGAAGAGACCACTCTTAGATTTGAAACACTGGTCAAGAAATGTGGCTATTTAGAGTAAAAAATAAATTAAAAAAAATCCAATGAGAAAGTCTGGCTAGTTCTGCAGGCCCCACTTTCACCTTCTTGAAAACTATGTATGTCTATTTTTCTCCTCCTATTACAAGCAATGTATGTCTATTTTTCTCCTCCTATTACAAGCAAGAACGGTCAAAAGAGGAAAAGAAAAGAGATGGGGGTGCTAACGTGTGCAACATGCCACCCTGAGGCTAGTGTGCAACATGCCCCTCTCGCGCAAACCCCCGATAATGAGCAAGGCCTCAACCGTTCTGTTTCGCCCGTACCCTGGCAGCCACGGCTCAGGACTGGCTATCCCTGCCCACTGTGGTCTGCGGACATCAAATCGTTTCAAAGTTGCTCTCACTTGAAGCCTTGTTCGCAGCCATCTTGCTCTCGCCGTCCAGCTCCTCCACGCCGGCCTGAGTCATGAGGTCTGCTATGTTCTTCTCCAGGTCGTCAATGCGACAGCTCATATCGTCAAGTGAGATCCCAGTTAAGGAAAACCATGCAGAGGAAAAGCAGCTTTCCAGGACCACAAACTGACACAGAAGTGCTGGGATCTGAAGCTAGCAAAATCAGTTCATTATGGAAAGCATCACTGATAAAGTTAACAGAAATAAAAGGAACGTCGTACATTTTGGGTTCGAAGCTAAATGGATGCCAATTTTAGAAGCTCTATCAGACAAAAAAATTTATCTCAGCATCCTGGGATAACTATGTTAAATGGTTGTGAGGATTTTTTATGGTTCAAATAAAGTATAGTAAGTAGGCTTTGGTAAAACTTGATTTGTGGGTAGTACTTTGTGTTTAATAGGGTTAGATATATCATTGAATGTCTACAGATATTCTTGAGGGCAGAAGACACTTGGTTGTATCTAAAGCAACAAACAGTACAGGCATCAATTACAAATTGAGGCTAAAATAAGTTACTTTGTTCAAAGATTTATTGAAGAATGTATCATTCTTTAAAGCTTACTTTTTTGTAATTAGTGTGTTGGTTTGAATGTATAACTGTTCTTATGACCTTTATGTATATTTTTATTGTTATATTTGTTTTATTGTTTTAATCCTACCAATAAAATGTTAATGAGAAGTTAGCAAAATCAGCAAGTGGATCCAACTCTTAAAGCTCAAGATTGTGGAGGTGGGTGGGGGACAGGTAAGGTTTTAATACAGCCAAGACTGGGGAAAAAAACTAATATTAAAGGATCACTAAAGCTCTCAATCTGAACTAATGTAGAGAAAAGAAGAGGAGAGGAGAGGATTGGATTTATACCCCACGCTTCACTACCCGAAGAAGTCTCAGAGCGGCTTACAAACTCCTTTCCCTTCCCCTCCCCACAACAGACACCCTGTGAGGTAGGCGGGGCTGAGAGAGCTCAGACATAAACGGCTCTTTTTTAAGAACATCTCTGACAGAACTCTGGCTTGCCGAAGGTCATCCAGCAGCTGCAAGTGGAGGAGTGGGGAATCAAATCCTTTCAGCAGGCCACAGAGATTTCAATATACCAGAGGAAGTAAGAGGTCTATTACGGGAGCAAGAAACCTAGGGTGTTGTAAGGTGGGGGGTGGGGGGGAATACAGCAGCATTTCCATACTCCGAGGCCAAAGGATATTCCTGCCAATGATCTGGTCAGACATGGTTTGAAACTTGTCCTGCATCTGTTGCAGCAGGGTTTGCACCTGGTGGGAAAAGAAGATCTGCTTGTCACAGAAATCATTCAAGAGCACAGGCATCCCTGGCCCCGCCACCCATTTAACTTAACCAACATTAAGCATCTTGTTCAGAGAAAGTCTGACACTGGGAATTTTAGGACATGCACACAAAAGCTGATGCCCAGATATAAACTTTGTGGGCCTTAAAGGTGCCGCTGGACTCAAACGTTCTGCTGCTTCAGGCCAACACGGCTACATGCCTAAATCTATCTACTGGGAATTTTAATCCATCTCAGCTGTTTAATCAGAAGCGACGTTTCCCTTTAAAAGGCTCCAAGAACTTTGGGCAATATCGTGTTTAAGGCAAGGACTACATAAATTCCTTAAAAGAGAGAGATTATTTCATATTATAAACTTTCTGAGAATTTTGGGCAAAGGACTGGGAGACACGGAAAGGGGACCCAATCCGGCTAAGGAAATCGCTGTACAGTCCTCCTCTATGGTGTTAAGAAGAACACTGTGAAACTGGAACCAAAATCCAATCAAGTCAAGCCTACCGCATCAAACAGAATTGAACAGGACGATGCTGGGGCGCCCACAAAAAGTTCACCAGCCCTCCCTTGCTGTCTGAGTCCAGGGCCTGGCACTGTAAGGTTCCTTGGAGGCTCTATCCGTCTTGTCACAGCTAATATCCATGGACAGCCCTGGCCTCTAGGAATCCCACACACAGACACGTTAAGGTCTGCTAGGGCAACAAGAATGTTGCTCCGTTATGAAAGTGTGGGGAAGGACAGAGAAACTAGCCTCCAACCACGTACTGCCCTCTCCCTCAGAATCAGTGCAATGGAGAGAGAAGTACAGTCCCTAGAAATTTTGAAATCACACCAAAAAAATGTGTCCCCCTCTTTTTTTACTAGAACAAAACGTTATCATTTAGGACCACGCAAAAAAGTTTTCTAGGTCTCTCCGTGGCTTTCAGCGCTACTCACAATGGGATCCTCCAGGAGAGGTTGGTAGGTTGGGAGTGGGGGGGACTGGTGGTTCTGCTTTCCCTCAATGGCAGGTTTCAGAAGGTTGGGGGGCTGCTTTTTGCCCCCATGGCACTTTTGATATGGCATCACCTCAGGCTCCATCTTGTCCCCCACTGTATTTAGCATCCCCACGAAAACAATGGGAGAAAACTCCCAGGAATTTGGAGGTGCCAAGTAGCTTTACGGCATGTCTGCACCACATGGCGGAGTCATACACTAAATGGAGTCAAGCACCCTTCCACTGTAAATGGTTTTACGTACTTCCTGGAAACCATTTGGAGAAATTAAGAGGAAGGCAAGAGACATTCAGAGGTAGTTTGCCATTGCCTGCCTCTGTGTAGCAATCCTGGGCGTCCTTGGAGGTCGCCCATACAAGTACTGACCCAGACCAAACTTGATTAAAATGTGGAATTCACTGCCAGAGGGTGTTGTGATGGCCCCAGGAAGAAACAGCTTTAAAAGGGGATTAGAAGGATTCGTGGAGGGTAAACCATGGTGACTGAGGAGAACCTTCACCTTCAGAGGCACCGATCCTCTGAATCCCAGAGGCAGGAGACAACCTCAAGGGAAGGTCTCAGCCTCTACGCCCTGCTGTTCTCCCCCCCCCCGAGGAGCTGGCTAGCCACGGTGTGAGGCAGGATGCTGGGCTAGATGGACGCTCCCTGGCAGTGTCCCCTCTAAGCTGGGGCAGTGTGAGCTAGCTTAGTTTTTTAGCCTCCGGCTCACACATTTTTGCCTTAGCTCAGGAAGGACGTAGCTCCAGAGCAAGCTAACTTATGCATTAGCCAAATCGCTCGCTCTCAACTTGAATGCCAGTAGCTCACAGAGTAGCATTTTTGCTCACAAGACTCCACAGCTTGAGGGAACACTGCTCACTGGTCTGATCCAGCAGGGCGCTTCCGATGTTCTTTCGCTCAGCATCCAAGACTTGAAAAGATCAGGCAGGCCTGAGCTATCCAGGTCAGAGGAAAGATCCTCCTACTTTTTACCAAACTCCCCCCGGGGAAAAATTAAAAGGAGCCTTTTATCATGGGGAGGGGGGGGCACGCAGAAAAGTTCTGTCTGTTTTGTTCCACAGCAGATCACTGAGTCCTGGACTGGGGGAGGGCGAGTCTTCCTTTTTTCCAGGATGACATCTGGGAAATAAAACCACAAACAAAAAAAACCCCACCCCAGACAATGCCTTTTGTGTGGTTTTATCATCATCCAGCATTACACATTTCCATAAAAGTTGATCTTTCTTCTTCTAGCGACTCATCTCACTGCTCATGTCAGGCTTTCTCACCAGGTAAAAATCAAAAACCAGTCATCTCACCTGGCAGATGAGAGTCAGTATACTCAGGTCACTGCGTGGTATCCCTCATGTAGTTTAACCCCATTTTATTCTTTCCTGTTATATTCCATGGACAGGGAAGGTTAACAATGAAATCTCTTTATTTCTGCCTCATAACGAGCGAAACTGGTTTGCTCAGGTTTACCCATGGAGCAATGTTCCCTGTAAGTTGTGGAGTCTTGTGAGCAAAAATTCTACTTTCTGAGCTACTGGCATTAAAGTTGTGAGTGAGCCATTTGGCTGCTGCATAAATTAGTTTGCTCTGGAGCCATCCCTTCCTAAGACAAAAATGTGTGCGCTGGAGGCTAAGACACTGTAAGCTAGCGCACACCAACTCAGCTTAGAGGGAACCCTGGCTGGGGTGGGGGGTGGGATGAGGCCACGGAGCCTCCCGCAAGCCCAAGGCAGGTAGGAGCCCCTCTCTCCCCCAGCAGCGGGCCCCGCCCATCTCCATGGCAACGACGTCCTCCTGCCTCCACACCCCTCCCCATCTCCATAGCAACCCCAGCCTCCCTCCTCGGGCGCCTCCTCCTTGCCGCTCCCGTCTCCATAGCAACCAAGGCCCTGCCCCCCTCCCCATCTCGCCACCGGTCTCCTGACAGCCGGTCTCCACGGCAACCGCCTCACGGCCGCGCCCACTCCGTGCTCTCCCGTCACCCCCCGCGGCTGTCCTCGGGCCCCCGAGGCCCGCTCACCACAGCGGTGAGGTCCTGAACGGTCTTAGGGTCCGTCTCGGCCATCCTGGTTCGCTCCGGCTCCCCCTCGGTCTCCTGCTCAGGCCCGTCTCCGAAGTGCTTCCGGGCCGCGCCTGGTGATTTCCTCTCGCCCGTCCAGCATCCCTGCGAGATCTCGCGAGGCAAACGAGAACCCCCCCTCCCGGGGAGCGAGCGTCACGGGGAGAGCAAAGCATGTTGGGAAATGTAGTTTTTTTTGTATGTAGCGATTCAATTCTGACCCTAAAGGCCGAAATCCCGTCAAAAATCCCAGGTGGCCTGTGGCCATGTATCTCCGTGGTGTCGTTCTAGGCACTGGCGTCTCTATAGTGAGACATCGGCTATACCCTCCAGTATGTGCCTAATAAAAAAGTATGAAATGGATTGCCGTCTCCGTTGGGAGACACAGTTGTACACCGGAAACGGCGTAGGTGACTGTAACCTCGTGCCGCTCTAGTCGTCCCCTATCGCTTTACAAGAGCATTGTGGGAAATGTAGTCTTGGGGGGAAATAAATGCCGTACCACCTCATATCCCGATTCAGTAGCAGCTGGGATTAATGTTGCCAACCTCCAGATGGGGCCTAGAGATCTCCTGGAATTGCAAATGGTCATAGAGTTAGATTCGAGTCCAGAAGCCACTTAAAAAGGTAAAGGTAAAGGTCCCCTTGCTCGAAAGCCAGTCGAATCCGACTCGAGGGTTGCGGTGCTCATCTCCGTTTCCAAGCCGAAGAGCCAGCGCTGTCCGAAGACGTTTCCGTGGTCATGTGGCCGGCATGACTAGACACCAAGGCGCACGGAACGCTGTTCCCTTCCCACCGAAGTGGTACCTATTGATCTACTTGCAATTTCTTGCTTTCGAACTGCTAGGTTGGCAGGAGCTGGAACTAGAGACGGGAGCTCACTCCGTCATGTGGCACACTCGGGTCTCGAACTGCTGAACTACCGACCTTCCCCAGCCTGCAGTTCAGTGTCTTAACCACTTGAGCCACCAGAAGCCACTTAAGAGAGACCAATTCAAATCCTCTTTTGAAGGACATGGGCTTGTTTGAAGAAAAAAACAACTGGTGAAAATGCCCTCTTTTGGGATTGGAAGTTTAGGAATATTCCTAGTTGGTACAAATTATCACAGTTTAAATGGGAAGGGTATTTAAAATGAGATTTGTCATAGGGATGACTTGTTTGAAGCAGTCAGTCGGGAAATATGTCGTCTTCTTCTTTTGCTTTTCAAAATATGCTGACCACAGGGTATCAGCTTCTGAGAGTCAAAGCCCCCTTTCTCAGACAAGTGATTGTGGCCAACCTCCAGGTGGTGGCTGGAGCTCTCCTGGAATTAAAACTGCTCTCCAGAGTTCCCCTGGAGAAAATGGCTGCTTTGGCGGGTGGACTCTATGGACACATACCCACTGAAAAGAAATGGGGGAAATGGCCGCTTTGGATGTTGGACTTTATGGCATTATGCCACACTGAATCCCTCCCTTCCCCAAACCCTATCCTCCTTAGGTTCCACCCCCAAAATCTCCCAAGTTTTCCCCAACCCAGAGCTGGCAACCGTAGTGTTGACTGTTCCAACACAAAACCTCCTATCCTTTCCCTCCCATCTGCAGTCTCCGAGGAACATAGATACCCCTTGGACCTGGCTACAGTTCCTTTAGGACAAACATGTCACAGTAAATAGACAAAAAGCCCACCACACAATACATTGGGGGGAGGGGGAGGTAAACACTATGATGCTTCAGTTTAAAATATACCTGGCAGCTGCAGCATGTGAAACTGGGCGTGCTGCAAGCCATGAGCCACATAGTGTTTGTGCATTTACAGGTGTGGGCACCAGAGATGCAGCCCCCAGCTCAGATGACAGAGCTAAAGACCCTGGGGGAGTGGACTGAATCCTGAAGGAGGACAGCTCCGGCCATGGACACACATACCCATTTAACATGGGATAGAGCACGCAGAGAAAGAAGTCCTTTCCTCCATTTCTCACAACACAAGAACTCAAGCGGGCACTCAACCAAATTGCTGAGCAGTCAGGTTAGAACGGATCAAAGGAAGTCCTTCTTCATCCAAAGAGTGATGAACACATGGAATTCACGGCCACAGGAGGTGGCGGCGGCTACAAGCATGGATGGCTTCAAGAGGGAATTAGATAGGCATATGGAGCAGAGGTCCATCAGTGGCTATTAGCCACAAGGTATAGATAAGAACTCTCGGTCTGAAGCAAGTAATGCTCTTTCTTCTTGGTGCTTGGGGGGAGGGGGCAAGAGTGGGAGGGCTCCTAGTGTCCTGGCCCTACTGCTGGACCTCCTGATGGCCCCTGGTGTTTTTGGCCACGGTGTGACACAGAGTGGTGGACTGGATTGTCCATTGGCCTGATCCAACATTGGCTTCTCTTATGTTCTTAAGACATGCTCCTACCCTTGTCTGCAGGTTTTTAAAGTAGCAACATACAAAACTCATACCTTAAACAGGACACCCAAAGCACAACAGTTCTTTTCCAATCAACAGCAATGTCCATACGGTCCCTCAAATGCACCGGCCCTGCTGTGATAGTATAGGGTGGCCAACTCCGTGTTGGGAAATTCCTGGAGATTTGGGGGCTGAATTGCGGTAGGGCAGTGTTTGGGGAGGGGAGAGACCTCAGCAGGGTATAATGTAATGGAGTCCAACCCTCCAAAGCAACTGTGTTCTCTGGGGGAACGGAACTCTGTTGCCTTGAGACCAGTTGTCATTCCAGGAGTTCCCCTGCAGGTTGGCAACCATAAAAGAACCCAAGTCTTCAATTTCTCAAGGCCAGGATTCGGGAGGATTGCATGAAATGTGGTTTCACTAGGGCTGCCAGCCTCCAGGTGGGACCTGGAGATCTCCTGCTTTTTGTAGTGTATTCAACGCTGCCTTGAATGCATGATATGTTGTGAAACATCTAATTGAAGTACAATGTTAAGCTCCGTCCTGGGCTAGGATCCAAATCCATCCAATCGTGTTACTAGCCCAGGAAGCACCTAACCAATCACCTTCTAGCAAGCTCCCTGAGCGGGAACATCCGTGATTGGTCCTTATGTGAACAACCTTATTGGTTGGTATTTGTACACCTGCCCTCTCCTGGCTTCACCTCCAAAGTCTCCAGGTATTTTCCAACCTGGACCTAGCAACCCTAGATTTCGCCCCGAAACCTTTATTTTGCCTCAGAAAAGTGTCGGGTTTGCAAAATTGCGTCGCAGTCGCCTTTGAAGGAAAAAACCTCCTCTTCCCGGTTGGAGAAAGCTCCAAACCTAGTCAAGGAGACTGCTTCTCAAGGTTGCAGCTCTGTTATTGCAGCAAAGTATATTTCCTCTCTCCCCCCCCCCCCGGCCTTTTCCCCCCCCCCCCCCCCCCCCGGGTCTTTTCCCCGCCAATGATTCACCCAGCCGGCTTCTTTCCTTGGCCTGCCGTCCGTGCCTCTCGGTCTCCTTGATTCTCCATCCTTCTGTTTAAAACCTAATTGCCACTTGTCTTCTATTGATCCCTCTAATCCAGTTTGGTTCATTGGGCAGCAGCCGGGCTCAGTCAATCTATGCCACGCTTTCACCTATTATATCTTGTTTCCACTTAATTGCACCCACTGAATAATAGGCCTGGGGAAGCAGCTGGTCAGATTTAGCATTCAGCGAAAGACACCGAGCTCTCTGGATTCACAAGAACAAATTTGCCGGGGCTCTGTGTGCAGGAGCTGCAAAATGGCAGTCGGACCTCGGATGATTTAATTTTGGTTAAGCAGAGGAAGTGAGCGGAATGTTGGACCCTCCAGCCACGTGCTGTCTGCTTCCACGGGCAGCGGCTTGCCAGGGGAGGAGGAGGAGGAGGAGGAGGAACAAGAAGAGAGAGGAGGAGGAGTTGGTTTTTATACCCCACTCTTCACTACCCAAAGCAGGGGTCATTTCGTAGAAAAAGAGCTAGGGGAACTCATTAGCATAACTCATTAGCATATGCCACACCCCCTGACATCAGGGGCCCGGCGGTGGACCTGCAAGGCCAGCGGGAGTGCGAGGAAGCCCCGCCAAGGCCCTCCCTGGCCCCAGGCAGGCAGGGGTGGGGAGAGGCGGGGAGGAAGCAACTTACCCTCCCTCTTCTCCTGCCTCCTCCTGGATGAATGAGGGCCGGAAATGGGGGGCAGGGCTTCGTCGTGTGCCCCATCCCCCGCACCTCACCCGGGGGAACTGCGATCCCCCGCGATCCCCCCCGAATTGACCTCTGTGCACAGGCCTCATTGTAGATGGTTGTATGTCCAGGGTCAGGGTCAGTACGCACAGTCCTGCTCTCCTCTTTGCATGCAGAATGTACAGAGTTGGGATGACTTAGCAGAGCTACATTTTCAGCCCTCTAATCCTGGAATGCGAGTGCACTCGCTTCTCAGTGAAAAAGGGAAATTTATGCTTAACATGGAGCAAGAAACCCTTCACAAATGGGAAAGAATTTAAGGACTCATTCTCACCACTGCTCCGGCAGACTAGCCCCTGTGGGTTTTAGCTTGCTTTTGAAAGCACCCGAGAAACCCTGAAAGCCACATCGATTCTGTGCATGCCAATGATTCTCTGAGCATCACAGAATTAGTACATTAGTATAAGGAGCATCACTGGCAGTAGTTATAGTCAGGGCTATTTTTGGGCACGAACGCACAGGAACAGAGTTCCGGCTGGCTCCTGAGTTGGCTACGCCTAGCAGGAACTCATTAGCACAATAGGCAGAAACTCATTAGGATTAGCTACATTAGGTGTGTGTAGCCTAACATGAAAGGAGTCCCTGCTACAAAAAAAGGCCCTGGGTTTGGACAACAAACAAGGTAAACAGAATAAGAAGCAAAAGATTGGTGTGGCTGGATGTCCACACTTCTAGTAACATAGGGATGCAGCCGAATAAGCTAATGAGCTCTGCTGTCAGGGGTGTGGCCTAATATGCTAATAGGTTTCTGCTGTTGGGTGTGGCCTATTATGCTAACGAGTTCCTGCTGTTCTTTTTCTACAAAAAAAAGCCCTGCTGGCAGAGGTCATTTCGGGGGGGGAACGCGGGGGAACGCAGTTCCCCCGGGTGAGGTGCAGGGGGCGGGGCACATGATGAAGCCCCACCCCCTGCT